AACCCGAGGCGATCAGGATCCCGAGCTGTCGCTGTTGCTGCAACTCCTCGGGCACGAGCTTCGGATTGCGTCTGTGTTCGACGGCAGTGGCGCCGCTGTTTTGGCGGGGCCCAGGTGCATGGTCTGCATTGCTGGTGGTGGGGATGCCTGGGCCGCCGCGCTGTCCCCTGCCAAACCGTGCCAGAAGAGGCCGCCCACTAAGCGCACGAGGCGATGGTTGACCCGGGACTGGGGGGGTGATTCCCCGCCCTGAGGGGGCCGTATGGGGGCTGGCGTCTCGGGCCGCTTTGAGGGCGCACTGCCGCGGAGTTGCTGTGCCTTGCTCCACTTCGCGGGCTTAGTGGAGCGCTGGCTCGATCCTCTGGCCTGCCCGTTCAGCCCGCCTTGGGTCCGAGGTGGTCGCGGGAGGACTTGCCGAGGCGATCCCGTATCCCGGCGGAGCAGCTCGAAGTTGAGAATCGCGCCGAGCCCGAGTCTCTTTCGGACAGCGATTGCTTCATTGGGGACATTGCTCGCCGTTTCCTGGGCATTTTTTTCGGTTAAACACATGTATATATATATATATTTATATAGATGTATATATATATATATATATATATATATATATATATGTATCGGAGTAGACCTCGGGCGGGCCCAGGACCACGACCACGCGTACGCATGGCCAGGCAGCGCTCCAGGGGCGCCCTCGTAGTTCCCAAAGTGGCTTCGTGGTCGCACAGAGGGCCCACAAATTGTTTCTACCCCGAGAGCGCCGAAGATGCTTCTGAATGGCCTCCGAAGGCTTCCAGGCTGCGCCAGGACGGCCCCGTGACAGCTGTAGTGCGCGTTCGCGGCCCCAGACGAGTACACCGAGAGGCAAAATCATGGATTTCGCTTAGATTTTTCAACGTTTTCGGTGCCCTCTCCTAATCGGCATTCTGACTCCACGACGGCCCACGAGGCCTCCGACACCGCCTCAGGACGGGCCCAGCGGCCCCCAGGACGGCCCCGTGACGGCATAGCAGGGCTCCATGACGCCCCCAGGAACGGCCCACGAGGTCCTCAAGACGGCCTGATGATGGCCTCCAGCGGGGAGTCATGAAGCGAAATTTTGAGTCTTTCGCTTCATGAAGCCCCCCAGAGGCCTCCAGAAAGTGCCAGGACGGCCCCGGGCAGGCTCCAGAGGGCGCCCGAGGCCCCAGCCGAGTGCCCCGAGAAGCAACAATCATTGTTTTTGCCAGGGTTTTTCAATTTTTTCGGTGCCCTCTCTTTCTCGACATCCTGACACTCCACGGCGGCCCACAAGGCCTCCGACACCGCCTCAGGACGGGCCCGGCGGCCCCCAGGAAGGCCCTGGGACGGCTTAGCAGCGTTCCATGACGTTCCTCGGAGCGCCCAAGACGGCCCACGAGGCTCCCAAGATGACCCCAAGATTGCCTCGAGAGGGGGGGCATGAACCGAAGTTGTTACTTCTCCGCCTCTTGAACCTCACCAGAGGCCTCAGGAGGCGGCAGGACTGCCCCAGGTATCCTTCACGGCCCCAGGGGCGCTCGAGACGGCCTCCGCGGCCCTGAAGACGGCCCCAAGATGTCTTCACAGGGGGAGCATGAACCGAATGTTCGAGTCTTTCGCCCAAAGAGGATTCCAGGGAACCCCAAGAAGGTTCCATGAGCTGCCACGGGGCTCCAAGAGGACCACAAGAGGCCCCCCCGACGCCCCAGAAGGCTCGAAAACCGGCCCCAAGAGGCCAAACAACGTCCCCCAAGAACCCCCCGCGGGGCCTCTTTCGACACCCCTCCTTCCTACCGTTTTTGTTTTGTTACCTTACGCCTCGCCATCTCACTTTGCAGCTGCACCACCAAGACAACATCTCCGAATGGCTCACTCTGGCTGTTCTGCGGGCTTCGCAGCCTCCTTTGAGGTACCCTGGCGACCTCCACGAGGACTTCACTGCGGCCCCACACCATCATGTTCCCATCGAGCCTTCTGGGAACTTGATTGCCACCGCCGTTCCGGCAAGGAGGCCGAAGATGAGGAGGGCGGTCCGCGCCGTCCCACCGAACTTCCCCATTCAGCAAAGCGTCTTTCCGTGGCCTTTCCAACCGTTGCCATTCTTGAACTGAACCCTGGCGCCTCCCCATCTTCCGATCAAGCTTCCCCACCATCTCAACCTCTGCTAATGTTTCCACTGGCCCGTCCTTCGAGCTGGGCAGCCTCATTTGGATAACCCGGAAACCGAGGGCCGTCGCAAGGCCCGCCCCATCATGTTCCCGGAGACCTTTCCGGGAACACTGTTGGCGCCAATTGTCCGCCTAGGGGACTGGGGAGGAAGAGGAGGAGTAGTAGTAGGAGGAGGATCATATGAATAATAAGAGTATGAATCGTCATAATAAGAATAATATTAATGAATGGGAGAATACGAACAATCATACGACTGATAATTCGAATGCGAACAATTATACTCAGACTAATAAGGAGAAGAAGAACAATCGTGCTACTAATAAGAGAACAGTAATACTACTAATACGTTTAGTCGTAGTAGTATCACGAATAATAGTACTGATAGTAAGAAGACTACTACTAATAATACTAAGAAGACTTCTACTAATACTACTGAGAGTAAGACTAAGACGCGCAACGATATTAATACCAGAAATAATACGAATAAAACCACGAATGATAATACGGATACTAATGGCACGAGTAGTACCAATACTCATAATTATTACAAATGCTAATTCAAGGAATCGTAAGACTAAGAATGCGACGATTACTACTAATACGGCACATACTAAGACTCATACTAATATTAAGAACATTTAAACTAATACGAGGAGGAGGAGGAGGCGGAGGCGGAGGAGGAGGAGGAGGCGGAGGAGGAGGAGGAAAAGGAAGAGAGGGGAGAAAGAGGAGGGGAGGAGGAGGAGAGGAAGGAGAAGAGGAAGAGAAGGAGGAGGAAGAGGAGGAGAGGAGGGAGGAGGGAGGAGGGGGAAAGAGGGGGGAGGAGGAGGAGGCGGAGGAGGGATGAGGAGGAGGAGGAGAGGAGGAGGAGGAGGAGGAGGAGGAGGAGGGAGGAGGATTGGAGAAAGAGGAGGGAGGAGGAGAAGGAGTCAGGAAGGAGAGAAGGAGGAGGGAGGAGGAGGAGGATGAGGAGGAGGAGGCGGAGGAGAGGAGGAGGAGAGGGAGGAGAAAGAGGAGGAGGAGGAGGAGGAGGAGGAGGAGGAGGAGGAGGAGAGGGGAGAGGAGGAGGAGGGAGGGGGAGGAGGAGGAGGAGGAGGAGGAGAGGAGGAGGAGGAGGAGGAGGGGGAGGAGGAGGGGGAGGGGAGAGGAGAGGAGGAGGCGAGGAGGAGAGGAGTGAGGAGGAGGAGGAGGAGGAGGAGGAGAGAGGAGGAGGAGGCGGAGGAGGAGTTGGAGAAAGAGGAGGAGGAGGAGGAGGAGGAGGAGGGGGAGGAAGACAAGCTAGGTGCGCTCGCGTCAACATCTGACATCCTACCCCTCCCTCCCATCCCTTCCCATTGAGCTACTTCATTGTCCTCTCACCGAATCGGGCTTCGCATCTGACCCTGTTACCTAAGAGGGAAAGGAGGAGGACGACGGCGCGATGAAAACGAAGACGACGACGACGAAGACGACGACGACGACGACAACCACGACGACGACGACGACGGCGGCGACGACGACGACGACGACGACGATGAGGACGACCGGCGACGAAGACGACGACGACGACGACGCGACCGCGCCGGAGCGGCACCCGCGCCAGCTGCCCGCTGCCGTTACGCGCGTCCCCCACCCGGATCTCAAATTTCTGCAGGGGCGAAAGGAGAGTAGCATTCATATTGGGTAATGGTAGAGTGGGTCCGATGTCAGAGATGTGCAAGTGCATTCATATTGAGTAATGGTAGAGGTAGAAATTGCCAATCGCGACAAAGACGCAGACGACGATGCAGGTGCATTCATATTGAGTAATGGTAGAGGTAGAAATTGCCAATCGCGACAAAGACGCAGACGACGACGGCGGCGGCGGCGAGGGAAGCGGCAGCGGGCGAGGACAGATTTCAGAGAAGAGGATGGAGGGCTGCCAGGCTCGATGGTCTGGCTTCCCTGGACAGTCGGCTCACACTGGGCCCGTGGACCCCTCACGGGGTCCAGTCGGAGCGGCGTGGTCCAAAGTAGGCCAAATCCTGCGCGGAAAAGGACGCCGCCCAAAAGGGGGGGGGGGGGCTTTCTGCGGCCCCAAAAATCAACGAATCGACACCGGATGTGTAATCACCTCCAATGTTTTTGCCGGGGATCATTTTCTAGATTTGGGGCTTCTTAAAAAGGATCGAAAACGTCGGCGCTGCAGCGGGAGCACGTTTTGGAACAACGAGAGGCGCAGAAATTGGGCCAGCGCTGCAGCGGGAGCACGATTCGGAACGAGCGGGAGCGCGGAAATGAGGCCAGCGCTGCAGCGGGAACACGATTCGGAAGGAGCGGGAGCCCGAAAATTAGGCCAGCGCCTCAGCGAGAGCAGCATTTTAGAAAAAAAACACAAGCGAAAACCCAACTCCGGGGAATCCTGTGTGTAAAAAAACAGTACGCGGGGGGGTGCCGAACATCTTCCGGACGCCATCAGGGGAAGTGGGAAAGTAGTATTCATATTGTGTAATTGT